ACACTAATAATATATAATAATATATATATATATATATATATATATATATATATATATAATATAATAATATATATATATATATATATAATATAATAATATAATATATATAATATAATATAATATAATATAATATAATATAATAATGTAATAGATATAATATAATATAATATAATAATATAATAATATAATAGATATAATATGTAATATATATAATAAATATAATAATAAATAGTAATATATAATAATAATAAATTGAACACTAATAATGAACTTCTGAGAACAAATCCTGTTTTCACAAATTGAATATCTTTAGACCTGGTTCTTATTTTTCGTTACATTAATAACAGTGTTTGCGGCTTCTTCAAGCATTTGGAGTACAGGAAGTCTGTTTTTACAGCGGTTCAGCACGAAAGAGCTCCGCGCAACACATCGTCGTTGGTGGCGGCCGCGAGGAGGGGGCCTACGGGACTTTATTCCGGAATTCCACACGTGTACCATGCAGCAAGCAACCCCTACCATCCTCTTCTGTATCCGGCGCTGTTTCCCTTCAAACCGACGATTACGCCAGCGTTCACGCCATCGGTCGGTAAGTTAAAACTGTATTTAAACTGTTCGCATATTGCGTGTTTATTCTGCACGAGAACGTTACGGATGTTTTATAATTCGTAGCGGCACACTTTTTACCACGATCAGCGTCGGAACCATTGTCTGTAACGACTGCTAAAGAGGATGAAGTTACCAGTTCCGAGGAGGCTGGATCGATAGAAACTAGGATAGAGCCAAAGGGTGAGGATCTTCTTTAACTCATCGCGTAAAGATTGATTTGAAAACGACTGGTCACTGGATTAGGGGATTTTATGGATTTTATGAATAGCGAAAGTGTCCGGAGAATTTTCAAATGATGCTGTATTACTTTTAGTATTGTTATTCAGAAAGAAAATCTATTTAACTTCTGTTTGTTGAAATCGGGGGTAGATCATTTTCGAAAGAACGATCAGTGTATTCAGGGTTGTATTTTAGGCTCACGTATTTCTATGTTACAGAAGATTTAGTGAGCACTCGATTAGCACCCCCGATCATTAACTCCGTATCTTCGGAATATGTAACTAATTTTTCCATCTTACCCACGGAAAATGTCTACGAATTCGCGGCGAAATTGCTCTTCTTTGCTGTCAGATGGGCCAGGAGCATTCACTCTTTCCTACAGGTACGTTGAAAACATTTCCCTTCTTATCTGTGCAAGAATTCACCTTATTCATGCAAAATTGATCTTTCTTATTTATGCAAAATTTATCTCTCTTATTTATGCAAAATTGATCTCTCTTATTTATGGAAAATTGATCTCTCTTAATCATGCAAAATTGTTCTCTCTTATTTCTGCAATATTTATCCACTTTATATTAAGTCTACCGGAAAGTTCTGTCCGATAGTGTCACTTCAAGTTTCAATCCATATGTACATATTGATTTGAGACATATATGACTATCTCTCTTTATCATTGCATCTACACACATGTACTTTCCTAAATAAACTGAAACAAAGATGTCTCATGTCATTATTAAGTGAGACGCGATCGTGAAAACATGGCTACCGATGATAATGCCAGACCACATGCTGCTTTGGCGACTCGTCAGAAAATCGCAGAGCTAGGCTGGGAAATTCTATCGCATCCACCATACTCCCCAGACCTAGCACCCTCCGATTATCACTTGTTTCTCTCTTTGCAAAACTTTTTACAAGAAAAAAAATTCACAACTGAAGCTGATGTCAACCAAGCACTAGTTGTGTTCTTCGCCTCTAAAAATAAATCATTTTTTAAAAATGGCATTTACAAGTTGCCATCACGCTGGCAAGAAGTCATAAGTAACGATGGAAAGCATATTCTACTATAAATATTATTAAATATATGAAAATTGTGTTATATTTCAATTCAAAAACGGACAGAACTTTCCGGTAGACCTAATACATCAATCAAAGCATAACAATTTTGTGCTTTATCCAGAAATTTGTCGGAACATATTTTTGAACATTTTTGCAGCCTTATTGGTCCTTCTGTTGTTCCTAACGCAACGGCAATTTATTTTATTTAATTGTCGAAAATTAAATAATTACAGTAAACGATTTGAATACCCTGGGTCAAAATGACCCGGCGGCCGCAGTGCGAGAGTTCAAGTTTGAACTCAATACTCAATAAATTTAACTTTTACCGTACCTGAACAGATTCGTTAATGATACGTTTAATTTCTCATATTTAAATTCTACTTGATATTCTTGCAGCTTCCCTACAGAGATCAAACTATTCTTTTGGAGGAATCTTGGAGCGAATTATTCGTCCTGACGGCTGCACAGTGGAATTTTCCAGTGGAAGAGGTCACATTGGTACCCAGCGATGTACCATCCGAAAGGAAAGAAGTACTGGTCGAGGAGGTGAGGAGACTGAGGGAGCTGTTGGGGAAATGCGCCCTTCTCAGAGTCGACCACTCAGAGTACGCTTGTCTCAAGGCCATCGTTCTTTTCAAAGCAGGTATGACCAACTTCCCACATTAAAAATTTCTGAACATTCCTTATCCCTCGGAGAACCTTACAGCCTATAACGATTTTCATGACATCACAGTTTCCATAGGTTACTTATAAAAATATTAATTAAGTGTTCTTCTAAGAACTATATTTTACAACAGTTTTTCGATGAGATCAGCTGGTATAACTTGAATTCCTTCGCGAGATAATAACATAGGCATAGACTTGTAATTTGATTGCAGATTTTATGCATTTCTGACAAATATGCTTAAGATATAAAATAGCAAAAACTCTAACACAAGATAAAACTAGAATTACCAAGCCTTCCGAAGCTTCTAATTTTTTTCTTTCGCAGTTCCTGATATTATAAAAATATTTCTATTATAAAGATGTTTCTAATTCTATGAGGAACTTTTAGGTAAACTTCTTTATTGAGGCATACATTGTAATGGAAATAGTACGATGTTCAAATAAATCCGATCTCTTAACATCGTTATAAAACAATATCGATTAGTTCCATTAAAACCTCGGCAGTTCTAATGTAAAAACTTTTGCTATATCCTCCCCTGTTTATTCAAATTAATATAAATGGTAATGAATTTCTAGTCGATCTCAAATTGTGGAAATCTCTTAAAAATTTGTTAAATTTACTTAAAAATCCGCGGTCACACACACACACTGTTAACATCTCTGTTTAATACTACGCATGTGATTCGATTAGAATCATAGTGATTTAAGTCACATTTTCCTCATCGGGAGAAACAAGGAATGTTATTGCTTACTGGTAAAACTTATTGTTAAAATAATTTACTGCTAAGTTAATTTATAGTAACTTTATAATTTATTTCTCAAAAATAATATGTATGTTAGTATGATATAGTATATAGTATGATATATATGTTATTGCTTACTGGTAAAATTTATTGTTAAAATAATTTACTGCTAAGTTAATTTATAGTAACTTTATAATTTATTATATTATATTATTATATTATTATTATATTATATTATATATATAATATATAATAATATATAATATTATATTATATTATATTATATTATATAATATTATATTATATTATATTATATTATATTATTATATTATATTATATTATATTATATTATATTATTATATTATATTATTTTATTTTTTCTTACCAT